GATGCCGCAGTTGTGGCGGAAGGGCTGCTGGGAGGGGTCGCATTAGCGGCGGGGGTCCAGTGGGCTACCTGTGCTCTAGGCTGTGCTTTCTGGCCTAGGGGCTGCCCGGACTGTCTGTGTGCATGCCGGCTGTGGACCGGTTGTGTGACGTGCTTTGCCATGGAGTCATCGCCCAGCAGCGGTGATCACTAGGGCCATCACAACCAAGCCCCCCAATCAATCCAACCGCCGCAACCTCCCCCCCCAAACACCACCACCAGGAGGACGAGGCTCTCGAGGCGCTGCGCATCATGTCCGCTGCCCTGGCCACGGCCAGGCTCAAGCACCTCAACCTCAGCGACAACGCACTGGGCGAGAAGGGCGTGCGCGCCGCCGCCGACGCATTTGTGGGGCAGGTGCGGCCGTCACATAGGAGTGCGGGCCACAGTCGAAATCACCCGCAGCGACGGTCTTGTGTACACTGCATGAACCCAGAATCAAGGCGGTCCCTTGTGTGCATTGCATGCAGCTATGCACACCAGGCACGATCTGTCAAATCAAACCCTGCGCACCTGCGCCCTCCTCATCCTCCTGTTCCACCCCACTCTACTCCGACCGACCCCACCCAGGAGGGTCTTGAGTTCCTGTCGTTGCAGAACGTGGGCTGCAGCGTCCACGCCTGCAAGGCCGTCGCTGAGCTGCTGCGCCACACCGCGGCGCTGACGGGGCTGCACCTCTTCAACAATATGAGCGGGGACGAGGGCGCCACCTACATCTCCACGGTCCTGGCGCGCGCCCCCGCCATGGCAGACTTCAGGATGGCGTCGTCGCGCGTGGGGCCGGCGGGCGGCATCGCGCTCGCCCAGGGCCTGTCGGCGGGTGGGTGGCGTGGCGGGCGACCGGCAGGGGACGCGCGGGGCCGGGCCTGCAGCTTCGCGCCGCGCGCATTGCAGGCATCTCTAGGCATGGAGCGCTCCGCATGACTCCCTTGAAGGCACAATGCAGACTCAGCAGGCCCATCGGCGCAATCACGCACTGCGCTCCCTACACGTGTGTTTATCAGGGTTGCATGAATCGCCGCTGCCCCCTCCTTGTCAATGTTGTCCATGCTGACAGGCCGAGTGCTGGTGCGGCTGGACTTGAGTGACAACCCTATGACGTCAGAGGTGGCGCCCGCCCTGGCCGCGGCCCTCGCGCAGCAGCCTCAGCTGCGGGCCCTCAACCTCAATGACACCAGCCTCACCGACGAGGGCGTCGCCACAGTCTGCAAGGGGCTGGTGGGGGCTGCACCGGAGCTGCAGGTGCGTGGGGCGAGGAGTGTTGACGTGCGAGGCGCCTTGAGTGTGGCGCACTTTGCTGGTGTAGTGGTGGGTGCGTGCGCAGTGAACACAACAGCTGCAGCTGCATGGGTCTGACATGGTGGCAGCCAGCTTGGCGGGCCTCCAGCGCAAGGCCTGTATTCACCTGCCTCTGACATGCTGCACCAGGCATGCTCATGCAGCCAACCTGTGGTTTCCAATCCAAGCGACATCACAGCTCAACCCTACAAACCTGCAACCCCCTGCCCGGCTACATCGGCTTGACCCCCATCAGGAGCTGGAGCTGGCACTCAATGAGATCACCCCGCAGGGCGCTGTGGCCGTGGCTGCCGCCCTGGCAAACAAGAAGCACCTGACCAAGTAGGGGGGGTAATGCCAGCAGCCCGCGGTGCCAGAGTATCTGTTGTATCACATGGCTGGAGCGACCAAGCTGCTTGTAACCTGCCAGACGGCAGGTCACCGCTCACACATCATCCTGCAGGTGCGCACTCACCCCCCTCCACCCGAGCCATCCACCTATCTCCGCACCGTCCCCGCCAGGCTGAACCTGCGTGAAAACGAGCTGGAGAGCGCCGGCGCAGCCGCAGTGGCGCGCGCGCTGCCCGGCCTGCCGGCACTGCAATTCCTGGACCTGGCCGCCAACCAGTTCTCCCGTGCGGGTGCGCTCGCCGTGGCGCGCGGCCTGGTGTCTGGTGGGCGGCAGTCTTTCTCGCGGCTGGTGCTGGATGAGAACTACCTGACGGACGACGCGGTCGAGGCGGTGCGCGACCTGCTGGTGGGGGCCCTGGGCGGCGACAGCTGCCTGTCCGCGGAGGAGCTGGACCCCGACGCGGCCGAGGAGGAGGAGGAGGAGGAGGAGGGCATGCAGGACGACGAGGGAGACGCACTGGCGGCAGCACTGGAGAAGGGGGCGCACATATGAGGGGCGGCGCCAGGGCGGGGACCCCTAAACCAAAATTTGTGTGCTGTATGCCACGGTCCGTTTGAGCTGCGCCACTTGATTGGCTGCAGGAGAGCTGCCCGCGCTGTTCAAGTCGGCTCTGATTCCTCTTTTTATATGAGAAGCATCAAGCACTGTAAACATCAAGCGACAGACAACTTTCAGACATCATATCACCCTGCCTCACTGGTGTGAGTCGCCTAGGAGCGTGGCTGTGAGCATGCGCACCTATCAAGCCCTCGGCTGCTACCATGCAGCTGCCCCCTTGTGCTTGACTCACTGATGCTCCACCCTTCAGCCAGCCAAGCCTTGATAAGTGGTCATGGATTGGGGGTGTTGATAAACACCGTTGAGGCAACCACACGCTCACACCCGTGCAGTAGTCAAGGGGATCGATATCACGCCAACGACCCCCGCCGCAGTACGCCGGCGCAGCCAACACAAAGCAGGAGGCATAATTGTTGTCGGGTGTGCTGTGCCACTCGGTGCAACGCGCCACAATCACGCTCGGTACGGTCCACGCACACGCCACATCACGCAACGACGCGCCACTCCACGCGGTGCGAGTGTTAGGAGGGGGGAGTGATAATGCAATGTGTGCTGACTGCGCTCCTGCGGCTGGCTCGCTGCAATTGCTGCACGTGTGCGCAAGGGGTGCCGTTGCTGGCTGGTTGAGGTGATGGGTATGTGCATGCAAAGGGATGTGGGGGTGATGGTGCTGCAAAGGTGGTCCCTGCCTGTGCTGTGTCTGGTCGGTGCCGCACGCTGGCGCTGGCACGCAAAACTGATGGCTCTTTGTGGGTGCTGCTGGCTGATACATTGTGCGGGTGCAGGGTTGTACACGTGCTGCTGGTGTTCGTACATGGCCTGGCGCTGCGAGTGCTGACGCCGAGCACGCCGGGCTGCAGGGCAGTGCTCTACCTGAGGCTGACGGAGCGCAGCATCGACGCGCTGGTGCCGGCGGCGGTGGCGGCCTTCTGCTCGCCCTTGGACGACGCGGTAGCAGGCTCGCCGAAGGCGCGCCAGAAGCGCAGCGTCTCGTCCGCGCCCGCCGTGACGACCGAGGCGCCGTCGGGCGACTGGGCCATGTGCAGGACGCGCGCGGTGTGGCCGTGCAGCTCGCCGGCCTTGGCCAGGGTGGGGTACTTCCAGAGGATGAGCTGGTTCTTGGAGTACCCGTGGCTGGACAGGATCTCGCGCTCGTGGCGGCTCCACTGCAGCGCGCACACCTGAGAGCCCGTGTCAATGGCGTTGAGCTGGGCGCCCGTCAGGGTGTTCCAGAAGCGGATGTGCCTGTCGGCCGTGCCGCCGCCGCTGGCGAGGAGGTTGCTCTGGAAGGGGCACCACGCGAGCGCCTTGACGGCGGCCTGGTGGGCGGCGATGCGGTGCTGCAGCTGGTAGTTGGCGTCCCAGATGCACAGCATGTTGTCGTTGCCGCCGCTGGCGAGCTGCTGGCCCGAGGGCGACCACTTGAGGCCGCACACCTCCTGGTCGTGGCCGCGCAGGGTGGCGACGAGGGCCTCGTCCTTGCGCTTGCGCACGTCCCAGTTGCAGATGACGCTGTCGCGGCCGCCGCTGGAGAGCACGGCGCCGTTCCAGGCGAGGGAGCTGACGCGGTTGGTGTGGCCGCACAGCTCGCGGACCTGCTTGGCGCGGCCAGCGTCCCAGATCTGGACCTTGGCGTCCGAGGTGCCGATGGCCAGGTGGGAGCTGTCGGTCGCCCACTGGATGCTGGAGACGTAGTCGCCCTCGTTCTTGCAGGTGCAGAGCTCCTCGACACTGCCGGTGCCGGCGTTCCAGAGGTACACTGTCGCGCCAAGGGCCACCGCAATCTGGGTGTTGGGAGTGGTTGGTTGGGAGAATCACGAGGTTGGCCGCAGGCGGGGCGTCTGATGAGGCGGTTGAACAAAGACGATGGGACCACCAGCGTGGCCTGGCAAGTCTGCGGCTGCATCAATCATCAGCACTGCTGTGTGCATGTCCTGCGTTCCCTTTGAGACTCGGCGCGCCTGTTGCATGGAGCTGAGCCGATGCAGCACACTCGCCCATGTGCGCCGCATTAACGGGCCCCGGCCACCCACCACGTTGTTGCTGCTCCAGTCGAGCAGGTTGAGGTAGTAGTCATCGACCAGGTCTGGGGCGTCCAGGATGCGCTCCTGCGTCGTCGGCACGTGGCGGAACTGCTTGCGGCTCGGGGCCTGGCCCAGGTTGGCCGAGTACAGCGATGCGAGGCCGCTGTCGTGGCCCTCCGGCGGCGCCGGCGCCTTGTGCTTGAACGCGAGGACACGGGCCTGCTCGTTGACGTTGAGGCTGGCGGCCAGGAGCTTCTGGTACTCGGCCTTGGCGGGGCTCTTGTCGGCTGCGGCATCGGCGCCACGGCGAGGCGAGCCCTGGTTCTCCTGGCCAAGCTGGAACAGCGCGTGGTCTGTGTCCAGGTTGCAGCGCGAGGGGATGAAGCGGTCGAGCTGCGAATACGGGCGAAGGGGGAGCGAGGTGCGGGGATCAGTCGCGACCGGATCAGAACGGGGGCTAGTCCTGGGCCGCATGCACCACCGCGCAGCGGCGGAGCGCACTCGATCGAGCGAAGTGATATTTTAGAACATTTCTATCAGCCCGCGGCCTCGGTCAATCCCCAACCTGGCCTGTGGGCCGCCATGGCCCCGGCCTCTGCCCGCACGCACCCGCTCCTTGCCACGGCTGGGGGTCTTGGCGGCACCGAAGATGCCGTTCTCACGGAGTGGCGTGGATGCCATATCGGATGATGGTGGTGGTGGTGGTGGTGGTGATGGTGGTGCTGCTCGGGTTGGTCCGAGCGTTGTGGTGGGAAAGGGATGGAGGGGATGGGTGAAGGTGACGGTGGAGAAAGCTTTTGTAGGTTGGGAGGATTGAGAATCCGGGCGAGACAGTGCGCGCTGAGCTTTTGACGCCAAGCTGCTTGCAGATTGAACGCAAATCAAACGCAGCTTCCCGTGGTCTGTGATCGCGACAAGGAGACGCATGCGCGCATGGTGAAGAAAATTGATAGATTACTTGCACTCTTGACTTGCTGCGCGGTCCGCAGGAGAGCAGCGTTGACCACTGCGCAGGCCCGGCGACTTCGCGCTGACGCCTCTCGTACTGACCAGTGTCTATGGAGTGAGCTGATGTCTCAACAATATAGCCTAGACACACCAGGCAGGGGAAGTTGATAAGAATACGGTATCCGCCGTAAGCTCGAACTGCAGCTGTGAAAGTGTCAGAGTTGAGTATTGTATGTCACTGCAGCCGTCAAGCCATGCATCCCTATCAAACCCGCAGAGTTGTACCATTTTGCGCTGCTCTTACATAACATGGCCCGTGTCCAGCTTGCCGGTTGCATTTGGATGCTTAGTCTATTGCATCTGAGATGGTCAGTAGCCTATAATGCGTGATGATGATGCCAGCAGGGCTGACTGATGTGACAGTGTGGGAGCGGCGCAGCACACATACTGAACAGGCCACTTCAACTTGCCAAGTGGCTAGGGGCTGCAACCCGGCTGCGAGGCACTCATGTGACCATATCGGCTACGCAAGGCTCGTGACGGCCGTGTATAGTGGGCCCGCCTTTTGGACACAGGTATGTATGAGGCCCCCACCGGCGCAAAACCCGCCTTTGTGATGCAGGTCAGTGCTACTGACCCGGTCCCCTGCAGGTGTTGATAGGACAAACAAATTTGATGAGGGCAGGGGCCCCCCACTTGATTTGTACCTGTTGCTGCACGCCTTGCGCACCTGCTGTGTTTGGCGTCTATGGTAGCAGCCGACCCCGCCCACCTGCCTGCGGTCTACGCATGTGCTTGCATCAAGCAAGCACGTGTGGTCCCCCTGATAATGATAATCAGGGGGACTTCACACAATGCAGACGTCCGAAGCGTCAAGTCAATGGACAGCATTGTATATTTGCCAAGAAACTCCCCATACTTGCTCGCGTTATGGACTACACAAGGGCAACTGGGATCAGGCCCAATGTAAGGTGTTCTCAAAATCAAAATGCGTGAGCATCTTCGTAGCTACCTGAGCGCTCATGCACGCGCACACAGAGATACACACGTGGACACGTGCACACTCCGATCAAACGCTTGCGCACAGATTTGTTTTCCACACGACCCCCCCCCTTTCACACACACACACACACACACACACACTCACATGCGCACGCGCTGATCTTTGCACTGCCTGTTTTCTACACATGTGTATACGTGTGTGCCTCGCATTACCCAGCTGGGAAGCGACACAGTTCGTATCTGCCGTTGGGGCACTGTAATGCCTAAAGACTGCTGCCTGCGGGATCACGGGAGTTGAGGTGGCCACTGCTGGATGCTGCCGGGTATGGCAGCTGCACTGACAACGAATGACCCTGACACGTCGTGCACCCCGTCATCTTCTATGGCTGCAGTCGTCCATGCGCGCTGCACACAACACCTGGCGTGAACAGATGGTACGGAACATGCACCCATAACATGAGATCAGTCCGTCTGCTGCGCGATAAACTATCCACTGCAGGTAGTGGCCCCTGTGGGCGACACATCGTTGTCAGAAGATGACGCGTGGCGCGCCATTGACGATTGACCGGCCGCTGGTCAAGTTGTCAACGATGTGCGAGGCTGCTGGGTGGTCGGAAAATCATATCCGTGCCACTATCAAATGTCTTTGGCGTGGCGGGCGCCACGGGATGGTCAAGCTGTCCGCGTGTTCAGCCACAAGCCCCTTGTGGCCCGTCGATACCACGCCGTGCTCTCACATCACTTGATTGATCTTCAAAAACGTTATGTATTTGCGATGAGACGGTATCGGTATGAAGCTGGTCATCAATCCCGTGCAAAATGATCTGCCCGCATGCACTGTAGTGTGAAGCGTCCGTTGTGCGGTCCTATACGGTAGCTACCTAGATAGTAATTCATTCTTCTGAATGGGTGCTGGCCGCAGACACGCCCGAGAGCTGTCCCCTGGCGCCATCCCCGCGTAGGCAGGCACGCCGCTTGCAGGCGCAGCGATGGCCTGGCGCCCGCAGGGTTGGCTGCAATACCAGCAACAGCAGCATACCCAACAGCAGCAGCATCACCATGCCTACGAAGGGCATGGCCATGGCGGCACGTGGCCCATGCACTTGAATGCTAGCCACGATGCACACTCCCTCGCTCAAGGCGATTTGCTGCGAGTGGGCACGGCCGCCGGCAGTGGTGCCTCTGCGCATGCAGCCTTCGGCGCTCCCGAGTTTGATCCCAACAGCGTACAGGGTTCTGCCATCCAGGCACGGCAAGCTCAGTCCGCTGCTGTGCAGCACGCAACGCAGCAGCACACAGTGCAGCAGCACTTTGCTATGGCAGCCCAACAGCTGCAGCAGCAGTTGTTGTTCAATGGGCAGCTCACAGCAAATCACCGTCAGGAGCAGCACAAGCACCAGCACCAGCACCACCAGCAGCACCAGCACCAGCACCAGCACCACCACCATCATCATCACCACCAGCAGCAGCAGCAGCAGCAGCAGCAGCAGCAGCAGCAGCAGCAGCAGCAGAAGCAGCAGCAGCAGCAGCAGCAGCGGGTGCTGGTGCGGGTGCTGGATACAACCCAGCAGTACGTTCCGCAGCCCCAGGTGGTGGTGGTTGCGGCGCCGCCGCAGCCTGCAACATGGCCGCAGCCGGGCCCGCAGACGGTGGTTGCGACTTATGCGGCTGCAGCACCAGCTATGCACATGGAGGGATCGCAGCACCAGCAGCAGCAGGTGGTGAGGCAGCAGCAGTACCACCACCACCAGGAGCTTGTGCTGCTCCCGATACCACAGCAGCAGCAGTCGCCATCACTACACCAGCAGTATCATCACCTACCTGGGCAAAATTGGCAGCAACACCAGCAGCAGCAGCAGCAGCAGCCGCAGCCACAGCCACAGCCACAGCTGCAGCTGCAGTCGCAGCCACAGCGGCAGCCGCAGCCGCAGCTGCTGGGACATGAGCACGGACAGCGCAAACAGCAACACGAGTTGCAGCATGGGCGGCAGCAGCAGCAGCAGCAGCAGCAGAAGCAGCAGCAGCAGCAGCAGAAGCAGCAGCAGCAGCAGCAGCAGCAGCCGCAACTGCAGCACGTGCAGCAGGAGCACTATCACCCCTCCCACCTTGACTGGCAGCAGCACAAGCAGCACCATCTCCATGTTCCTCAGTTGTATCAGCATGAGCAGCAGCCACGCAAAGACGAGTCTGGTCACCACCACCATGACGGCCAGTGGCAGCACCCACAGCAGCAGCAGCAGCAGCAGCAGCTGCAGCCACAGCAGCAGGACGCGCCACGGGGAAATGTGCACGGGGATGCCTGGCCCCTTCAGCGTCAACAGCAGCAGCCTGCGCCTTCACTATTTCCGCACGAAGTCGCGGCGCCTCCAAACAACAGCGGCGCCACCTCCGCAGCCGAGGCGGAAGCAAGCCCCGAGGCGCGGTGGTTCACCGCCCTGAAGCTGCAGGTCGCAGAGTTTGCGGTGGCGGTGGCGCCGACAGAGCAGGAGCAGCGCGTACGAGACCGAGCCACGGATGCTCTGCAGCGGGAGATCCCTCGAGAGCTGGGGCACCGTGACGCCGCGGTGCTGGTGTTTGGCAGCGGCGCGAGCGGCCTGGCGGTGCACTGCTCGGACATCGACATCGTTGTGGCAGGTGGGCGCGCGGAGGGGCAAGAGCTGGCGCAGGTGCAAAGAGTGGAGGGACTGGAGAAGCAGAGATGACGCAGCGCTTGCAGACTGGCGGCAACATGCTCAGGTTTGCTTCAAGGTAGCATCGCTGCTCTTTCAAGCAACAAACTGCACCAGCAAGCGCACACCCTGGAGGGTTGCCATGCCCACGGCGTTCTTGTGTTTGTTTCCTGGCAAAATGCTCGCTGATGCCTCGCCTGCCGGCGCCGCTCTCCTCTGCTGACTGCCCCACAACCCATTGTGGGGCAACAGATGTCGTCTACCCTGACCCTGTGGCGGGCCTGAACCCGGACGACAAGTCCTATGCCGTGCAGTGCCTGCGACGCCTCCAGGCCTGGGGGAAGAGCTCGCGCTGCCCGCTGATCATCAAGTCGGACCGCCTGGTGCCCTGGGCCAGGGTGCCCATCCTGAAGCTCACCCTGCGCAGCGGCCCCGAGGTGGACATTTCGCTGGGCGATCGCGGGGGACGTGCGGCGGCGGAGTTTGTGTTGTCAATGAGCCGCTCGTATCCGCTGCTGCGGCCGCTGGTGCTGGTCATCAAGTCATTGCTGCGCCTGGTGAGGGGCGGGGGGCGGCCGGCGTGAGCTCAGGCTCGTGAGGCGTGCAGAGCAGTGTGGCTCATCGCCCTAGCAGGGCATGATGCTTCTCAAGCATGCGCGATGAGTTTGTCCGCACAATGTCCGTCGCTGCCAGCACGTTGTGCTCACCCTCCCTTGTCCCCATCCATGGCCTCTCCTCGACACGCTCACTGGCTGGTCCCCTGCCCTGCACCCCGGCCCAGCTGGCCCTGCACGAGGTGTTCCATGGCGGCCTCGGCTCCTGGTCCCTCACCAACATGGTGCTGGCACACCTCATGGAGGACACCCGCGCACACAGCGGCCACGGCGGCGGCACAGCCGACGACGCGGCCCGCGGCGCCGCCCGCGCGCGACACGCGGGGCTGGCGCTGCTGTCGTTCCTGCGGCGTTTTGGTGGCCAGGGGTTTGACTATGGACGCGACGCGGTGTCAGTACGGCTGGGGGGCTGTGTGCGTCGGGAGCAGCTGCAGGGGTTTTCCAACCCCAACACCTTTCTGGCGCTGGAGGACCCCCTCACAGGTGAAAGGCGGGGCTTGAGGCGGGCACGATGGACGCCAGTGGCGGGCTCGGAGCTTGGGGCATGCTGTGCGTGTGCGCTGCCGTTGGGCCGCATGCTGCCGCCATGCCGTCAGCAGCCCGATGTGACTGCGCTGCGGTGGCGTTGTGCATGTCCACACACGATCACCTGCCTGAGTTTGCTGCCTCAGCGGAGCACTGACCCCCCGGTGCCACTCGCACTCATCAACCCGCCCAGGCCGCGAGGTCGCAGGCGGCTCCCACCGCATGGCGGACGTCGTGGCAGCCTTTGGACGCGCGGCTGCGCGGCTCGAGGCCGACCTGCTGCGCACTGTCAGGCGCGGACAGCCGAAGAGGGCGCGCACACCGGGGCAGCGGCGGCGGCGGGAGGGCGCCCCGGAGCAGGCGCGCACGACGGGAGCGCCATCTGCCGGGGCGGTGGAGGGCGGGGCGGCGGCCAGCGGAGCGGGGGAGCAGGCTGCTCACGGCGGCGGCGGCGATAGCGGCGGGAGCGGCGGCGGCGGCGGCGGGGGATTTGCCCGGGAGGGCCGGCTGCTGGCGATGCTACGGGTCATCACCGGCGAGACCACGTCGGGCTCTGTTGGCAGTCAAGGCCCAACCACTGCCCCAGAGCAGCAGCAGCAGCAGCAGCAGCAGCAGCAGCAGCAGCAGCAGCAACCTCGTGCCGATGGTGCGATGCCCCGGTCGGCAGTGGCACCTGGCGCTGGCCCCGCTACCGGCGAGGGCGAGCAAGAGCAAGAAGGCAGCCCGCGTGCCCAGCGCAAACGGCCGCGGCACCAGCACAGCAGCAGCAGCGATAGCAGCAGCTCCAGCAGAGACAGTGGCAGCAGCAGCAAGGACGAACAGGGAGGGAACGGGTGTGACAGTTGCGGTGACGACGACCCTTGGATGCCGCTCAACTGTGTGCTGGACGTGCGGGCTGCGCTCAGGCGCCTAGACTAGTGCGCCTTGCAGCACGGGTTATGTTACAAGGCTTGCGAACACTGTCACATGGCGATAAAATGAATTGCGATAATGTACACAAACGCCTGGCAGTCACAGCTTCAGGAAAAGCAGCTTCCTGCTGGTGGCCACCAGCCGCTCCCTCTCTGCATTCGCCCCAATCACCAGCCCGCTGCCGCTGCTGCTGGCCTGCACAGCCCTGACAGCGCTGGGTGCGGGCACCATGGTGAAGTGCACGGTGACACACAGCAGCTCGTTATTGGTGACATCACGCGCCTTGAGGGTGACATCATAGTCGCCCTGCAGGGACGGTGTGGTTTTAAGGATGGTGAGGAGGCTCAGCAAAGGGCAGCAATCAAACAGGGGTGTGCAATTTTGTGTTGCAGCAGCCTGTGCAAGATGCCATCGAGCTGGTCGTGCTGTTAGCTCAGACACAGCACACCTTGAAAACAAGGCATTCGGCTGTCACTGTTGCAAGCACCTTTAGGGCAATGGGAAGGAGCCCTGACAGCTGAGGGTCGGCCGTAAGCACTGCTTACCGCATCCCCCCGGCCCCCAGCCCTCACACCGAGCACTGCCCGAACCCAATAGGTGCAGCCCACCCCCCTCCCCCGCACCCCCCCCCCCATGCTCACCGGGGGTGCAATGGGTGGCAGGTCTTGAACGTACTTGACCTCCAGGGGGCCGGGGGCGATGGGGCAGGCCGTCTTGGTGCAGAGGTCGTCGCTGGTCTCGTAGATGGGCGTGCCCACAAACGACACGCTCATGCTGATGGAGCCCGCCGCCACATCGCGGTCTTCAGGCGGGGGTCCAGGTGCAGATGACGCAGTGTGAGCAAAACATCATGTGAGTGGCAGCCGAAGCTCTCACAAAGGGCGCCGTGATACAGATGGTCCCCACCCTCATGAGCGGGGCCAGCATGGACAGGGCGCGACTCCCGACCTCGGCTGCGTGCCCGCAGTGTGCTCCCACCCCCGCTCAGCAGCATTGCCTTAAGCCTGCTCGCTTGGCCCCACTCAAGAGCATTGTCCCCTAGCGCACCTGCGCTGCCCTTGATGGTGAAGGACACCTGGTTGCCAATGACGGGAGGGTCGGGCAACAGCACCACCTCCGAGGGCTTGAACGGGGCGGTGGCGGCATCGCAGGCCTCCCAGGTGAAGGCCGCAGCTGAGCGAGCACACGTCACCACCAGCAGCGCAATCAGCGCCGCTGATTGCATTTGCGTCAGCCTGTTCCTTGAGGTTCTAAAAGTGATCTCTCAGCGCGTGGAACCTGCAAATCCCTCCAAATGCATGAATTCTAGCCTACATATGCAAGCCCATGCAGGCCTAGATCGCTCGAAGGCTCAATCGGCAGATGACACGACTCTCGGTGGCCCAGTCAGATTCACGGTGAAGAGAGGTCGGGGTGTGTGTACCGCAGATGTTGGTCTGCAATCTGACAAGTGGAAGATATCGTTGTCAGGCGTGTTTTACCTCGGCAAGATCCATACCGGTAGAAGTGTTGCGCGGGCCGCGCATGCAACGCAGTAGACGCCTTTGGAATTGTGCCAAAAGCAGCATTGAGTTGCATCCATGAATGTGGCGCGGTCACCGGCTGCTCAATGCCCTGCAATGAGGCAGCGTCTGCTCAGCGGCACCGGCGGTGCAGGTGTCGTGTGGCGCAGGCAGCCCGCCCGCCATTTGAGCAGCAATGGTGCGATGCGGCAGCAGCTCAGAGATCGGTACGGTGAACAGCAGCAGCCGCGACGGCGCGATGGCACGGCTGCGACTGCTGCGGCCGTGTCAGCAGCAGCGGGCACAGCGTCCGCCCTGCCCCAGCTGGCGGAGCTGTCGGCAGCGCCGAGCTGGAACCTCGGTGTCGCTGTGGCCGCTGCGCTCGGTGCCTGGGTCTGGGTCAAGGCATTTGATGCGCTCGCGCGCAGCGGCGTGCTGGAGCAGAAGCTGTCGGTGAGGACCTCCGCACGGCCCATGCATCGGGGGATGTGCAAGACTGCATGCATGTGGGCATGACAACAGCAACCTGGGCAAGAAAAGGGTGTGCGGTGCGATTGTGGGCGCGACAGCAGGTCAGGCTGCGCGCTGCAGGTCATCACATTGTCCCGCAGCTGAACTCGGCTCAGTGGCGCCCAACAGCAGGCCTTGTTCCCTTGGATTTGCGGCTCTTGACGCCCGATGCCCCCGCTCCTGCCTGCCGGCGCCCTGCCCCGCCGCTCTCCCTCCCTCCCCAGCGCAAGCTCGTGCACTCGACGGCGGGGCCTCTCTTCATGCTCACCTGGCCGCTGTTCAAGTGAGCCCACGGCACGGTTAGCAGCCGCGCCCCTGCAGTGCGCGGTTGCGGATGCAGCGGCCCTGCCCGCCCTGGGCTCCGCGGCCCCACGTGCCGCGGGGCCTGCTGCAGCGCGCAAGACGCATGTGTACGCTACAGCACGCCGCCCGCGCCGCTGACCGCCACGCCCCGCCGATGTGCGCGTGCACG